ATGCACACTTGAAGATTTCCCGCTTAGGCCACGTGGAACAAGATAACAGCATCCACGTGCAACCAACATGCATTCAAAATCATAACCGTTCCCGCCAACAGTTTGAGCGTCACGCCAACACTCGTGCGCCCATCAAGCCGCATCAGCAACCCGCATAGCTTAGAGTTAATCCTGCCCAACATATTGCGAAGGCGCCGTACCGTCTTGCTACTTTGCCCCCACGTCTTTGCGTGGCCATGCACAACCCGCAAAGACTTGACTGATCCCATGCTCAGTCTACATTGACTCGGCCCTGCAACCTAGCATCCTCGCCAAGCTAGCCCGGAACCTTTTACCCACGTCAATTTACTTGTTCCCTTATCCGACACCGTGCACAAGTGCCCGGTTTCTTGACCCTTGGTGCACATAAGGGAATGCGCCTGGGTCCAGCTCAACTCAGGTCCGTAACAAACTTCCTCCGCCTGAGCTCGTCGACGCCCTCGTCGACTGGGGGTTCACCATCCTTCTTGCCTCGTACTCTGCAATCTTATCAGTAAATTGCCATAGTTTTGTATTTCGAATCCAAGTAGCGTCCGACTCGGACTCACCCTTCCACTGGACAAGATAGTCTGTCCGCCAATTCTTCTTACGTTGGCCAAGGGTCCTATGATCCAAAATTTTCTCCATCTCCTTCGTGAAATGGTCCCGCACCGTAGGAGGAGCTCGAGTAGAGACATTTCGGCTTGCCTCAATCAAATCAGGATGGTACTTCTTCAAGTAAGATACATGAAATGTGGGATGTACCTTCAATCGGTCAGGCAGCTTAAGCGGATAGGCCACATTCCCAACTTTGCTCACGATTTCAAAGGGACCCTCGTACTTTGGAATTAGTCCACGATGGACTGCCTTTGCCGAGATCCTTTTCCATACCTTTGGGCTCACTTTTAACAACACGAGATCCCCGATAGCGAATTGCACGTCCCGTCGCCCGCGGTCCGCATATTTCTTCATTCTTCGCTGCGCCTTAGCAAGGCTATCTCGGGCCTCCACCAAGAGTTCGTGCTGCGCCCGAGCATATCGATATGCCGCGGGGCATTTTCCACCAGTCCGCTGTACCGCTACATCATGCGGTAGCTGGGGTTGCTGTCCATAAACCAGCTCAAAAGGACTCATACCGGTCGCCGAGGGCTTGTGCAAATTATAACAAAACTGGGCCATATCCAAAAATTCCACCCAATTATCCTGGCTTGCGGTCACATAATGCCTGAGATATTCTTCAAGCAACTGATTCATCCGTTCAGTTTGGCCATCAGTTTGAGGATGATAGGTCGTGGAAAACTTCAGTTCGATCCCCATCAAATTGAACATGGTCGTCCAGAATTGTCCCGTGAAGCGCGGGTCACGATCACTCACTATGTCATCGGGCGTACCGAAATATTTCACCACATGCTTGAAAACTAACTCAGCAGCAAGGTCTGCCGAGCATGCACCTGGAGCAGCAATAAATATCTTATACTTTGAAAATCGATCAACAATGACCAACACCGAGGCCATACCTTTCACCTTTGGAAACCCGCCAATGAAATCCAAAGATAGTGACTGAAAAGGCTTGTCCGGAATAGGCAAGGGTTGCAACAAGCCCGCCTCTTTCTTCTTTTCGGTCTTGTCTTGCTGGCAAACAAGGCACGTCCGGACATAGGACTCAACGTCATCCAGCATTTTCGGCCAATAAAACTTTCGCATCATCAAAGCGTACATACGCTCAACACCGGGATGACCAGCCCACTGAGAATCGTGATAATCTTTCAGTAGCTCGCGCCTCATTCCTCCCGATGGAATATACATCCTTCGACCTTTGGCATAGAGTAATCTGTCCTCTAGCCAGTACTTGCGCACTTCACCGGCTGCCACTTGCTCGGCGAGTTTTACATAGACAGGATCTTTAAGGGATTCACCACGGACTTTCTTAACAAAGTCGGACTCAACAGCATACAAGGCCAACACATAGGACGCCACAACCTTTCGACTTAGAGCATCAGCAACATCATTATGTTTCCCCGGCCGATGGACCCAATCGAAATCAAACTCCCCCAAGAATTCTTGCCACCGTGCCTGTTTTGGGGACAACTTCTTCTGAGTTCGAAAATAAGTACTGGCTACATTGTCCGTAACAACCGTGAACCTTGTTCCCAACAGATAGTGACGCCACATTTCCAAGCAATGAATTACTGCCGTCATTTCCTTCTCATGGGTACTGTATCGGGTCTCAGCATCCTTCAATTTCCGATTCTCAAAAGCGATAGGATGTTTGTCTTGGACAAACACCCCACCAATAGCACGATCTGAAGCATCGACTTGTACCTCGAATGGCTGGTCGAACTTTGCCAACTTCAGTATCGGCTCTTGGGTCACATCTTGATTCAGCAAATCAAAGGCAACTTGTTGAGCTTTGTCCCACTCCCAACACCTGTCCTTCTTCAGTAAATCCGTCAATGGGCTGACTACCTTGGAATACCCTTTAATGAAACTTCGGTAGTAGTTTGCCAGCCCTAAGAAGGAGCACAACTCGGTCACTTTGGATGGTTCGGGCCAATCAGCAACAGCCCGCACCTTTTTAGGGTCATGCGAATACTTCCTTGGCTGATGATGTGTCAAAGGAATGTGATTTCCTCCCGACAGAATTCGCATTTCTTCTTCTTAGCATACAGCTTGTTTTCCCTCAATTTCTCAAGCACACATCGCAAGTGCTTGACATGCTCATCAACCGTCTCAGAATAGATCACGATGTCATCCAAATATACGACCACAAATTTATCCAAATACTCATACAACACATCATTCATCAAATTGCAAAACGTAGCAGGGGCATTGGTTAACCCGAAGGGCATCACCAAGAATTCAAACGACCCGTACCTTGTCACACAAGTGGTCTTTGCCTCATCGCCGGGGCAATACGCACCTGCCAGTACCCAGAACGCAAATCAATTTTCGTGTACCACCTTGCTTGAGCCAGCTTGTCAAACAGGTCCAAAGCATTTGGAATTGGATACTTGTTTTTAATGGTAACTTTGTTCAACGCCCGATAGTCCACGCACATGCGCATCGACCCATCTTGCTTCCTTTGGAACAATACTGGGGAACCGTAAGGCGCCTTTGAAGGCTGTATCAATCCCGCACCAAGCAGCTCATCCAACTGCTTCCTAAATTCGGCCAGCTCGGCTAGTGGCATCCAATAAGGAGGTTGAGCAGGGGGCTGAGAACCTGGTTCCAGTTCAATCCGATGGTCACAGGGTCTACGCGGAGGCAACTCCTTAGGCAACTCAGGGGGCATCGTATCCTTGAATTCATCAAGCACTTTACCAACAATATCCGGTACTTCATAAAATACGTCTGGTTTGGTCTCAATCAAAGCCGCAAGGTACGTTGTGTGACCATGCCTAAGTCCATCGCGAACTTGCAAGGCCGACACCATGCTTGTATCTTTCTTTGGAACAGCAAACTTGACGGCGAGAGGCTGCTCTCTCCCATCATCAACCAAGAACAGCTTGCCTTCGTGGGGTTTTGGGAAGACTTTCGCCTTCCTCATAATGTCTATTCCGAGAATCATCGCAAAATCATCAAGAGGGACGATGTGCAACGCACACAATCCTTTCCAAGGCCCAACTTGCATCTCGACTTGGGCCACACCCTTAATCGGTTCACCTTGAGCATTCACCGTTTTCATCTTTCCCTCGTGAGGCTCAACAATAAGGCACAGCTTCCGATCATACTCCTCGTTCACAAAGCTGTGGGTAGCACCGCAATCCACCAACGCCATAATATCTTTGTTCCCTATGGCCACCTTAGTGTACATCAAGCCATCACATGCAACAGGGACTTTCTGAACTTGGTTCAACAGCAGCATCGAGTTAAGGCCCATGGTACCTTCCTCAGCATCCTTGGTGGTGCCTTGCACCACCACAGCATTTGCTTTGGCATTTACACGTTTAGGACAATCCCCGCATGCGGTGGTCACCATCACACAAGAAGCACCCGCGGTTTGAACGGTCCACAACCAAAGTCTGGTTCTTAGACTCTCGGGACTTATTCTCCTTCTTTTCCCCCGCCTTCTTCTTGTATTTGCCACCATCTTTATGCTTTTTGAATTTCCCACTTTTCTCCTTAGTCGAGTCCTTTTTCTTATGGCCCGACTCAGGTCCGCCCACGACTTTAAAAAAAACAAGTCGTTCTGCCGCAGCAATAGCCGATGGCAGGTCGCTCACACCTCTTCTTAACTCCGCTTGGGCCCAGCCTTGAAGACCGACCATGAAGTTGAACAGTTTGTCCTTCTCTGACATTTCAGAGATATCAAGCATGACAGAAGTGAATTCCGTCACATAATCCCGTACAACACCTGTATGTCGTAAGTTACGCAGCGTGTTACGGGAAATCCAATCTGTGTTCCCCGGGAGAAACGGATCTTTCAACAGACCTTTCAATGTGTCCCACGTAGTGATCTCCTCGCGATTTGCACTGGCATCATCAGACACCCGCGCCCGCCACCAAAGTTTCGCATCCCCGGTCAAGAACATGCTCGCTATTGAAACTTTCTGACCATCTGGGACTCCAGCAGCTTGGAAATATACTTCCATATACCAAAGGAAATTCTCAACTTCCTTTGCATCACGAGAACCGTCAAAGGCTTTAGGATCAGGAACCCGGACTTTTGGTGGACCTTGCCATTGTTCATTGAGAACATTTGCACCAACACGTTTCAGCAATGATATATCATCTTGTACCTTGCCAATCTTATCGCTCACCGCATCAGACAGCAAATTGACTTCATCGTTAACAGAATCAATCCTTTCTTCAACAAATTCGGGTAAGGAGTCTACCGAACTTTTAAGGGCTTGCACCGTCACCCGCAGATCCTCGAGAATATCGTTTGTTGTTCGTAATTTCTCGAAGACGGTTGCTTGCAACGGTGTCTGAGGCGGTGGCCCCAACAGATCCTCCAATCTTTGTATCCGAGCACCATAGGACAATAATAGTTCTTCCCTTCGATTATGATCACCCATCATTTCAACTTGCAATCCTTAGAACCCAAAAATGGGCTCTGATACCACTTGTCACAGAGTCTCAAAAGAGGCTAAAATTTTCGCACCCTTAATACCCTGTGCGGCCTGGTTTTTCGCCTAACCAGTCAGCCTTTGTCCTTCACACTAAACGCACAACTTGATTATATAAATTCGGAATAGTGTTATAAGCAATACACCAACAAGCAACGCATACAGAAAGCATCAAGCAAACAGACAAGGCAACAATATTTACGGGCTCCACGCCCAACCAACAATTTTACTATCGCTGGAAAAATTCGCCAAGGCATGCACACAAACTCGCGGTATTGCTCATTACCCGCGATTGTGCAGCTCAAGGCCTTTATATAGGCCCGCAGGCAAGTTGCGGTTGACATCCCCAACCGCTAGGACAGGTAACCATCGAGCAGTTTTAAAACTGCCCATATTCTAAGCCCACTATGCATAACCGTCCCCATAACGACCCCAATGCGCGGACCATCAAATAAGCGCGCCACGTGTCCAATGTAACCGTCTTGTAGACGCGTCGCCCATCTGATTTATTCTGCCATGCACACTTGAAGATTTCCCACTTAGGCCACGTAGAACAAGATAACAGCATCCACGTACAACCAACATGCATTCAAAATCATAACCGTTCCCGCCAACAGTTTGAGCGTCACGCCAACACTCGTGCGCCCATCAAGCCGCATCAACAACCCACATAGCTTATAGTTAATCCTACCCAACATATTGCGAAGGCGCCGTACCGCCTTGCTACTTTGCCCGCACGTCTTTGCGTGGCCATGCACAACCCGCAAAGACTTGACTGATCCCATGCTCAGTCTACATTGACTCGGCCCTGCAACCTAGCGTTTTCGCCAAGCTAGCCCGGAACCTTTTACCCACGTCAATGTACTTGTTCCCTTATCCGACACCGTGCACAAGTGCCCGGTTTCTTGACCCTTGGCGCACATAAGGGAATGCGCCCGGGTCCAGCTCAACTCAGGTCCGTAATAGTACGCGTGAAGGTGCGCATCTATCAGCGCGAGCGGGTACGCGAGAGGATCCGATGGCAAGGGCGCGACCACGCGCATTGGCGTAGACGTACATGGCTGAGACCCGAGGGGCCGACAGGGTCGAGCCGATGAGGACAAGCATGCGGCTCGAAGGGTTGCAGCCGGATGGGTCGAGCAGAAGGGACGAGTGGTCGATGCTCGGATGCTCGAGGCTTGCGAGGTCAGACAGGCCTATCACGAGGTCGACACTTGCTAGATCAGTCGCGCGGTTGGATGGATAGATGGATGACGCTCGCAGGGTCAAGGCCGAAGCTAGCCCGGCCGAAGGCAGGAGGGTCGAAGCTGCAGCAGATCGACGCGCTAGTATGTCGAGCAGTTGGCCTACATTCAAGGAGTCAAACACGAGCATCGCACTACGTGCAGTGTGCATGCGAGGTGCAAGGCTTAGGGCGCTGGAGGAAGGGCTATGTGCAGTGGACCGGGGCCGAGTGTACGATAGCAGGCTCGGGCGATGAGGTCGACTGGTGCAAGGTGTGCGCGAGGGAGCGACGCGCACGTCGCTTAGAGGCTAAGGCCTCGGGCGTTTACATTGCTGAGGAGACGAGTTGTGCGCGAGGGGTGGATGTTGGGTGGATAGCGCGCACATGGGGCGACCGCGAGCGGGCGAAGGCACGAGCGGCGATGAGCGCGGCACAGCGCGCGAACGAGCACGGCACAGTGCACATGGTGCTGGGCGACACGCGCGAGATAGCCATACGGGCGAAGTGTGCGATCGCGTGCGCACCCGAAGAGCGAGGCATGACCAAGGCAGCAAGCCTAGTCCTCATAGGAATAGGCATGGCGTGAATCTTAGACCCCGCAGGACTAGGAAAAGCAGTTAAGTGCCATAACGCGCGTGAAGGATCGGTGACGGGAGTAATCCTCAGAAGGTCAGGAA